GCAGAGTTGTTAACAACTACACTACTATGTGCTAATAATTCACAAAAGATATCAAAATTCCTTGTAAGGGTTGAAAGAATCAGACAAATTAAATACGGTATTGACCAGGTGATTAATCTTTTCAATCCTTTACCACCAGGAATTTCATTATGTCAGCGTAACACCTATTTGCCAGTAATAGATACAGCCACCTTTAATTTTCCATTTGGAGAACACAAGCTACAGAACATTTTTGTTCAGATGCTAATTCAGTGTTCAATATTCAATTCTAATTGAAACACCTCTGAAACAGGAATAATTTAGGATTTAATACTATCATGTCTAACGGAGGAAATAAAAGTGTGGATGCCAAGAATGCAAGACATTTCTACGCATATGGCAACTATAGAAGTCTCCATTCAGAGGGAATGAAATTCCCTCAGGTGTCTATATTTAGGATCAAAGAACTTTTTAAAATACAGAACTTGGAGTCTCCAAGGGATAAAAACTACAAAACTGTCTGTAGTGAACTTTATTTAACCTAAGGTTTTGTGCCAACTTAAATACACTGCAGCTCTCCACTTGAAAGAAGGCATTACCCACTGCGTGTTCTGAAATGCATGGAAAAGCCATTACAGGGATAATCAACAGAACTATAAAATAGAAAAGCAATAAAATGACAAAACCAGATACAACTCAAATAGCTTACTTTTCAATTCAGGCAAGCGGTGTTACTTTTAAAGTGATGATTATAGTATTAAAGTTTGTTTATCTATCTACTCACACCTTAAAAGCTAACTCATCTTAAAATCTAGCATAGATTTTTGTTTAAGACACTTTAAAAGTCAGGTAGTCAAAACAACCAAAATGGGTATTTTGCCATAAATACCACCACTTTCTATGCAGAACACAGGCTCATCTAGTTTCGGCTGCATTAGTTACCAGCTCCACAGAAGAAGCTGCGAAGATGAGGACCTCTATGGCACAGCTGAATCAGGTGAAAATTTATGCCATGAAAATAGACTTTAAGATACTTTCTCTATAGAGAGCACCAATAGCAAGGTGAAAACCACCTACTGTATCAGTCGTGTTTTTCTTGAGTAATTGGAATTATTTTTTTCCCCCCACTTATTTTTTTTTCTTTACCAAAATGTCATGTGTCCTAGACACGACCATAAGGCATATACATGGTAGAGTAGAAAGGAGTGAAAGACAAAGTTCTACACTGTACCAGGTACATAACACGTCACAAATTGTACTTGAAAAGTCAGATTTTATCATATGGACATTCCTGGCTGTTTTCTAGCAGCTTTAGATGCCTAAAAGCAGTGCAACATATAGGGAGGAATTAATCCTGATTATTTGAGCCTTTTTTACCATTATCTTCTATGTAGCAGAATAAAGATCCATCCTTTGGAAGGAAGATTAATCAAGGAGTTCCATAATGTATTATTAAGCCTTCCTAAAGGATAAAATTTCCTCCTCGTTCTGAAAGGACAAATACATAACCCATATAAAAAGTTTTTAAAAGGGAACCGTGTGAGACTTGCATCACAGACATTTTGGATATATCAAGGAGAAAGAAAAAAATACCTAGGAAGACATGAATAGTACATGGGGTGATTTTCAAAGGTATAAATGGGAAGCAGGCACTCAGCTCCTGTTGAATTTTGAAAGGAGTTCAGCATCCAACTGCCCTTCTGCCTTTGAAAATCTTCCTTCACAAAACCCTTGGTTACAAATGACTCCAAAGTTCAAAGAATGACCTTGCCCTTGTGGGAAACGTAGGAAGGCTCGTGCCTTTTAAAGAAAGATTTATGAGACTGTTGCTGCAGATGTGACTGCAATGAGGAAACAACACTTTATAGAAAGGAAACTCTAAAGAAACATACTCTATTGGGTGGAGTGGATGGGTCACAAGAGACCAGAACCATGAGTAGAAAGCATGGACAAAAATACTCATTTGCACAGATGGATACTGCCTTACAGAAGCTCAGTAAGTCTTCTACCAGATTGCTTGGATAAGCTTGCATTTGTAGTGCTGATAATCACAGAATCACCTAGTACGGGATTAAGACAGGAATATCAACAATGTGGTATTTTGTTTGAATTTCTTGAAATTGTCCAAATAGCCTAATGCTGTTAGGCTAACCACGACATGCTGGCAATGAGATAATTATGATAGGGAAGGTGTATGTCATCCTTCCTCATGGTTCAGCTCACAGCTATGCACTTGGTGATGGACTGGGGATCTCTATGGCGGTTTAACCAGGTTTGATAACATTAGTCTTGAGCTATCTGTAATTATGCAAACTCTACATTTTACCATTCTCATCTTCTGAATTACCTTTTCCCACTAGCGTGGGGAAAAAAGTAGAATTCCTTGTATACAAATAGGCGGAATAGGTTGTGAAAGGATGAACCATGATAATACACGTGTACAAACCTACCAGTTTGGAAAATAAAAATAATAGGAAGTAGAGAATTTTCATAAAAACAAATTTTAACAACACGTCCTTATGTGAAGAAAGCATTATTCCAATTCTACCCATGATCACAAAGTTCATTTACAGTACATGTTGACACACTGTGTATGTAATGAAAAATATTTCAAGATTTGTTTTATCCAAGCGAACATACGTTTGCTCTGTATCAAGCACAGTATTGACCATGATCAAAACCACTTTCTATTTTTGGCTGCTGTGTCAGATCATACCTCTCTCAGGCACTAAAGATAGTTATTTTCACTGATAACACTGATACAATTGAATTCTCTCAATCGTTATCAGAAGAACAAAAGAATATTCACCGTGCAGACACTTTGGAATTAAACTAAAGATAAATGCGTAGCAATCTAGGAATTCTTTCGTTTGTTGATATGTGGCATAGAAAAAAAACCACACAACTCAAGCATTAGCATAATAATTGATATTCACGTCAGCTTAATCACTTTCCAAAAATAAAAGTTAACAACTCCTGTTATACTAAATAAACCCTTAAATACTCCAAATTCCTATAATGCTCTCTTTATATATATATTCTATACATAATATAATATAATACAACTTTGTTCACTTGTACATAGGAGATGATGCCACACTTAAGCAACATTTTAGTTCTCGCTCTGGTTAACTTCTGCATTCACTCTGCAAAATACACGTATATCAGTAATATGGCCTTGAGTGGTTTCATTGCCTCCTGAGGGTTTCTGGCATCCCTGAAGTGTATATATAAAGCGTTGGGGGGGGGTATCTACACTTCAAACACATTTTTTACAGAACAAACAGGACATAAAGCGATTTAGAGATGGTCAATAGTTCTATTTGACTTGTTTCCTGACTATTTTTTGCTTATTGTTTTAGCAAACTTTAATATCGTAATTATTACCTTCGCAGCAGAGTTTGATACTCCATGTGTGACATTTCTTATGAGACCACCAACATTGCCGTATTTTATAAGTCCAGTAACACCTTCTGAAACATCATTCAACAGACCCATAGGGTTGCCAAGGAAATCCACAGAACCTAGAATCCTTGCTGCCTGACTAAGCAGCTCCTGTAAAATCAACAGGAAGAATGAAATATCACTTATGGATCACGTTAACACTATATAAAGCGTTTGAAAGAAAAAAAAAAAAGCAGAAGTCCCACCTGCAACAAAAGCGTATACAAAACCAGATAGTTTTACTGAAGAAATGAACAGTTTTACTGAAGAAATGAACACACAAATACCAGTAAGATCAACAACAGTTTCGTCTTAAAATGCAGTGTGTTCTTAGAAGCACGTGATGCTATTTCTCCGTATACCAAAGAAGCAATACAGCACTAACACTTAAGTAAATAGTCAAGAAAGAGTTCCCCCACCCTCAGCAGAGAACTCATCAATCAAGAGAAGTTCAGCCTTTGCCACAATAAAATCTGTATGGCACTTACCTCTTGAAAGTGCTTCAGAATGTCATTAATGATAAACTCCCGAGTTTCATATGGATGGACCCTAGTGAAAGGATCCAGATTAATCACAGCATCTTCAAATCGGATTAGAGGAAATCCCAGTGTGCTTTTCAATGCCTAATTAAATAAAAAGACATTGCAACTTTAATTTTTCTCTCTACTTCTCATTCACAGCACCCAAACGAATTAATCTTTAAATGGGTAACAAACCAAAATTATCTGAAGCTGCTAGAGTAGTTTACCACTGCCATGTAGACGCTTTGATATAGAGGGCAATCACTCCCTACACCTTTCACTTGTAAGCAGTGATCAAGTATTACAACTGCATTTCTTCAACAACTAGATAGTCATTAAACACTCCTCCTGATGCACTGATTCCTACATTTGATAGGAATATTTCAAAACAAAATGTGTTTAAGATTCATGCTTAGCACTTGGCTATAACTGCCCTAATGTTCAGTTAAGCCGAACCCTAAATTAATTTCCTTGATACGCAGTGAAGACAAAACTGAGTATTTTCCACCCTGCTGAAGTGCTATGAATGGATTAAGTGTCAGGATGAGCTGGAATAACGTACATGATTTCCTGCACGCCTGAGGCTCATTTCTTAACATTATGTGGTGTACGGAAATTCTTTAAACCAGCTTTTTCAATTATTTTCAAGGAAGAAAACTAAGATGGTAATTAGCCCATGGGCCATCTGTAACCTGTACAATCTATACCTGAAGAAACATATTTAAGGTGGACAACCTATACATCTATATATACACACATAAATAATATAATTTTGGAAAAATTAACAAGAAAACTAATCTTTTAAGAAAGAAGGAGATCCTTCTATTTCAGGTCTTGACAATGGCATCTGCACTGTCATCAACGTCAAAAAAATCTGAAGGTGGCAAGAAGCCTGATACTCGTGTTGTATCTTTCTACATTAATCACTTAAGCATGCTTGGTAGTAAGTAATGTGAGTTTTTCTGCCATCTGCAGGCAATTAAGGTAAATTACAGGTCTGATCTAAGTTTGCAAGTAAGAAAGGACCTATTTATTTTTTCAGTAAATGGATGACTAACTAGAGTAGTCCTCATTATTCACTTGGGTAGGAAGTAATTTCCTGTTTAACTATCAGGTATTATATAAGGCAACTTTGTTAATACTCGTACCTAATAAAAAATAATCTGTCTACACCAAATTACCAGACAGCAATGTCCAAGCCAGAAACATTAGAGGTAGTCAGAAAAACTTCTACAAAGGCTCTACTGTGATTATTCTCTCCCTCCCACCCTGAACTCTCCCGTGCTACAAAACTGAATGGAAGTCTTTCTGTGGAAGTTAATATACAGAATACAGTCAGTGACTGTTATCATTAGGGGAAAAAAAATGTATACGCCAAGTTTTCTCTTGGGAACAATGCTGGCGGCTGCCAAGACATGTCCATATGCAATCATATACCAAAGGTGGTAGGAAATCCAAACAGAACAGTGCACATTACTAGTTTCTTAAAGGCACCACTGACACTGTTTGCTCTCTCTAAATTTGAGATAATTGGATGATAAGCATTTTGGTGTTGAAGCTAAAGTGCAAGCACATTCAAGACACTGCTGATGTTGAACAGTGAGGAATATTACAGCTAGCTATTGAACTGCCCTCCTTTGCACGAGGATTTGGTAAAAGCAGTACAAGAATGCAGGACTGATGATATGCTGGGTCATCTCAGTAGGACTCCGTGATACACACTCATTCCACAAAACTAAACTTCTTCAAAAGCTTGCACATCTTAATGTCCATAATATCAAGGGCACAAAAAAGCCTGGTCAGCGTCTCAATTTTGTTCTTTGAACACACAAATTGAAAAGGCAGCAGCTCAGTGCCTCCACAGTGGCGAGGGTTTTTTATGGTTTGGTTGGTTGGTTGGTTTTGTTTCAACTCCCCCACCTTGGAGGAAATCAGTTGTATTAGCTCAGAGGGAACTGAAATATTGCTGGCTGTTGCCACCTTATTATGTCCAGGAAGGTCCCAACACACAAGTTGGGAACACTGGACGAGATTATCTTCTTGCTATAATTTGGAATCCTTGGTTCACTTGAACAACTGTGCCAGAACATTTATTACCACATGAAAAGGAACAGATTTCCTACCTAAGTCCATACTCAATCTGCATTCACTTTAATATTGAACCAAATTGCACAGTGCTCATGCAAACGCTCCAATTCCAATGAGACACCATTTTTTGGATGAAAACACTCAGAGTTGTCCTGTATTTCTGCTCCCTAAGTTGTGTAACTTCTTATTTTTCTTCACCCACACCTCAGTCCTCCCATATAGGGAGGATAGTCATTCCCTTTAAGCCTCTTTACGCTACCATTAATGTAACTAAGATCCTTTGTGAAGTAGTGAGTTATAAGGTGAAGTTGGCTGTGCTTCAGCTGAAATTACAAAAATGAAAGAATATTCCAGAAGAGACTGGAAATTATGCAAATTAAATAACAGAAGTTATTGAAACTTCTATTATTTGTAACAAATAATGGAAGAGTATATGGAAATCAATAGCAGTAAGTTAAAGCTTCTGTTCCCTTTTCCTTCTATAATAGAACCTCTTTACTTGGAAGCACACTCTGTGAACGCATTGGCGTACCTTGAGATCCAAAGGTAGCTTGTTGGAAGTGAAGACACTCAACTTTATTTGAGGCACGCTGATTTTCAGATTTTCAAAGTAGTATCGCTTTTGTCCTCCACCTTGTTCAACAACTTTTTCATGGAGGTTTTCATCATACTTTTCAACCTCTGCACCCAGACAAAACATAGGAATCAGAACAGATTATATATAAATAAATATGGGGTTATGAATGCATACTCTGTGAAGAGTTAATAGTTTCTCTGTACAAATAAGAAGTATGTGCAACTGCTAGTGTAGTTATTAGTTAGCAATTACTCACACCTTGTCACATGAAATTGACCTTTGAGGCTGAAGAGTTTTTTTTCAGATCTGCCTGCATCTCTAAAACCTGAATGTATTTGTAGCTAGATAAAAAAAGGTCATCCAAGTTTAAGTTATTTGAGCTTTTAATCGCACTTCTAATTTATCTTTGTCAGCATACAGAAGCAAGGCGATACAAACATAACTACACAATGTTTCCTACTGTGTAGTCATACTCTTACAATGTTTTCCTCTCTGTACTTTCTCTATACTTCCTTACACGCTCAACTATCGATATAATGTACAAAGCAAGCAAAGCTGACAATCTTTTCAATTATCACTACAGAATGGACAAAATGCCTACATGGAAGACATTCAATAAATTTCTGTATGGGGTGAGCCAAATTTGGTTGACACTAACAGGTTCATATGTTATTTCTGAGAGCATCTTGGTGGTGTGAGAAGGCAGGGGGAAAGACAAAAGATGACAAAGTCTTATAAATCAGGTTGAACAATTAAACATGTTGAATGTAAATGACAAAATAATTTTTGTCTGAATCTTGGATGACACCATCAGCATCAGTGGATAAACTACAAAGACCATACAGTAAGCAAGGAAACAGAAAAAAAAAAAGCAAAAGCATCAGGGTAAACCACAACAAAGGACAGATTAGTAAACAGCATAAGAGCAAAACTCAAAATCTTTATTTCTTCTCCATCACTACAAATCGAAGTCTTTAAGTCCTCTGTGAAACTGGGAAACGTAATACTCGGGTTTTTTCAGAGACAATTCAGAAGATACTGTGGATTAGCACTCTTGAGCATCATTTGTAGGCTTACCTACATTTAGAATCATGCCAAAAATAGTTTTTTCCTGCAACAGTTATTATAGAACCCTACACACCCTACTGCATAATAAAAGTGACTTTTTCAACTGCCACTCCAAAACAGACATTTCAGAAAGTTTCCAAAGTACAGATACAATAGAAGGATTAGAACACCATCTATGAGATTAGAAGATTCAAGAGCTCTGTCTTGCCTCACTGAATGGAAGAAAACTTGTATTGCAATTAAAGCCAGGGGTATGGATGCCACAACTAAAAGGTCAGACAGCCAAAATTTTCCTTCAGTTAAGCAAGAGGAACTGTCCAAGGAACAAATGAACAGACATCCCATTTCTAGCCTTGGGTTTAAATAAACATTACTAAACAAAGTGGTTTGCTAAATTAATAACACAATTTATCCCAATTTAGATGAATCCAGATACAGGAACTTAAGATGAATACTAAACTCCTTCCCATAGAGGCTCAGCTCAGCCACCCTGTACTGCACAACAGCATGTTCATGGGTCTGTACCCGAATCCTGTAACAAGCACAATGTATGTGAACAGCTTTATAGGGGCCATTGAGACATTAGCTTTCCAGCTTTCTGTTCAACAGTGGAAGTTCCCAAGCAGCCAAGAGCTTGCTAGGTGTTTTGAACTTATTTTATATGCAAAGATCATAATACTTCTGTATACTATAAAACCGGTCTTTGTAATTTTATACTATACCTGATTCAGACTGATCATAGCCAAAGAAACTCAATAGCTTCAGAAGTAGTTTCTCCTCAATTTGAACTGTGAACTTTCGAGCAGTGATCATCAGATGCTACGAAGATAAACAAGTCTCAATTTACAATATTAACACTAGAAATATGATCCACGTAAGCCATTAAATAGGACAACGTGTTCTACTTCAACGGAATATTTTCACTGGAATGGATTTGTAGTAAGATTCCCACCCTCAAAATGTCTTTGGTAGTTTTCTCCACTTAAAGTTACCTACAGCTAGTGATGACTGTTTCTATTTTTGGGAAGCTATTGTGCTTCATTGCTTAATACTAGCACTTCAGAACCTGATGCTTAGCCATTTTCCAACACCGAAATCAGCTGTTTTTCAAAATAGCATCAAAATACATGGGTGAAGATTCCAAGCGACAAAATAGGTCTTGATAACCAACTCAGTTTTGCCCTCACAATGCATACCACAGCTGGTGGATAAATTTCCAAACAACATCAATAGCTGCAGTACACAGAACAGGGTTTACGCTGCAAGATAACAGCTTATCAGAGAGAAGTAATAACCTTGTACACAACTCATGAAAAGCGTAGCATAGATATTCTGGTTCACTATGCTACGATGGTACCTATCAGTTCTGAGGTGAGAATTGTTGGCTTGAAAAGTAAGGTCACAGACATGAACAAACAGGGGTCTGGCCTAATTTGTTATATTTTTGAACATATTATCCTGTTCATCACTGTACTGTAGCTTTAAACACTATGAACATGAGAAGGTGGACGTAGCATCCTTTAAGCCTCAGTATTAATTCAACAACGTGTATTTCACAAATTGTTTAATTCAGGTTACTAGTAAAAATGAGGAACAGGAAAAGGTCATTTAAACAGAGTAATACCTGCATGGCACAATCAAAAGATCGTGGTTTACCTTGTATATATCAGTCAGTGCATTTTTACTGGGAAATTTCATTGCATTTATTTGCACTGCAGGACCAGTCTCCACGGGTTCATTTTCACTCATCTTAGGTGTCAGAAAGAGCATAAAAGGCTGTGTGGTGCCAATAAGCTGGTTGTCCACCTACAGAGTAGACAAGACAGACAACAGAATCTGAATAGGTGACAATAAACAGCAAAATTGATCCTCTTTAACTGAGGACTTAAAAGCTTTTAGAAATACACGGTCCCTGAGCCAGGGAGATACTGAATATATGTGGTTATTGATCACCACTGAGACCACACCAGAAAAATATTCAGAAATGTCCTCCGTTAAAAAAAATGGTTATAGCTATCAACAAACAAAACCTGTAATAAAACTGCTATGTTCTCTGTGACTTTTTTTTCCTTTTTCAAAAAACAGAGCCAAAAATATTAAACAACAGCAGAGTTAGGCTACTCCTGCATTTAAGTTTGACTGATGCATGCAAGTATCCATTTATCTCATGTAACCTACATCAGTACCCACAATTCCCCTTCCACGGAGATCTTACATATTGGGAACAGAACTCTAATACTTTAGAGGAGTTTTTTAGTAGAATAAAAACAATCTTTACAGTCTTCAGTTTAACTTGTGAACTCTGAATTTCAAACACTGAACTGAAAACAAAGGTAAAGGCAAAACTCTTCAAAGTCAGAAACAAAATCTAGTTGAAAAACAAAAAGTAAGAGGTTTATATTTGTCCTATTTGTCTATGATACTATGATGTATACTGTGGTACTACCCGCATTAGGACTCCTGCTTTCAATGGCTGCTTTTTCGTTATGTAATGACAAAGAACCAAGAACCAGGAAAGGAGAAACAAAATAGAAAAGATTTTAACTTGCCTAATAGAAATCAACGGCATGAAATACAGTGTATCATTGTCTCAACTATATATTCTCTACTCAACAGTAGAGAACAATGAAAAAAGGAAACATCAACACTAATCAAAACTTCTATGATATTTAGGAATTGAAATCTCAGTAACAGCTCTAAACATTTTTCAAACCTATTATGACAACAAAAACCACAGAGGACCCATGAACAAATAAATTTGTTTCAAAATGGCAAATACCTGTATGTCTTGCACACTGAGCTCTAGCACCTGACTTGTCGACAGTTGTGTGTAGTGGACATTAATTCTTGTGAGGCTTGCAAATACTAGCTCTTCAGGAACTTTGTTGACCAAAGACAATCCTATTCCACCTTCCAGTTTCACAAGCACCTGAGAAAAGAATATTTGAAGAGGGGGAAAAAAAAAAAAGCCACTAACAAACCAACAATGAAAAAAACTGTGATACTGAATACATACTTCTGCAAAGAAGTTATTTTTTTTAGACTCATCTCCAAAAAGGCTGAACAGATCATTGACGATTAGTCTTCGAATAAAGAGGTGTTAAGACATATAAACCCAACGGCTAAAAATGAGGAGTTTTAGCAGGAAAATCTAGGAAAAGTTCATTACAAGAGGTCATCATGGGGAAAAGCTAACCAACAACGCCTCCGACCCCCCCCTAAACTCTAGAAAGGAAAATGATAAATAAAAGAGACAGATACTAGCTGTAATATCTTACTTCTAATTCCTGCTCTGTATCTGGATTTTTTAACTTGCGTAGATCTTGTTCTGTAACTGGAAGTTCGTCTCCTTCACTGGATAAACGATCATTTCTACGTTGGTTAAAATCTGTTATCTGATAAACAAATAAATTACAATGATCACTTTCCTGTTTATAAATGAGTTATATTGTCCTACCTTATAAAATTTTCTTTTTTTAAAAATAAGGACAACGAAAACTTTTGTTGTAATTATTTCTGTTTTATGATATTCCCCTCCCTCTTCATATATAGTTACTATAAAGTTATATATTATATAATATATATATTATAAAGTTAACTTTTTTTAAAGAATTTAGAGATGTAATACAGAAAAAGGTATTTCAAGTAGAAGTAAATAACGAAACTAGATTCTAGTTAATGAAGGACCTTCACCTGTAGAACTCTAGTTGGCCCATCCGGGATGACTCTAACAGCTAGTACTCCTGACCCAGGCCTCATCTTCTGGTTTATGAACTGCTGTTCAGGTGGAACTGGCCCCAAAAGTTCAAGTGAAGTATCAGGACCAAGAACAACTTCTGCTCCATCATGAAGACCTAGTATTCCTCCCTTTGCCTGGAGAAAGGAGTAAGGAAAAAAAGAAAAACCAAAACCCCTGGTAGGTAAAGGCTTCAGGTAACTATTTACATACATTAATTTAAAATGTATGTAGCATCTCCACAGCTGAAGGAGAAAGTCGTCTGAGACTCCATCCCAGACTGAGTACTCTGGGTGTGAGGGAAATAAACACATTTCTTACTCTCCAGAACTAAAAGAAAAGCAGTCTAGCAGCATTTTACTCGGTATTACTAAAGCTTCTGGTAACTCATGTTTAATCAGCTTGGCAGCTAGAAGAACCAGCCAAGATCAGTAATTAAGTATTCCCACTGCACGTTCAGAAACCGAAGCTATCATATCATGATCGAACGTGGGAAGTCCTTCCTGAAAGTATTTAAAAGACGGGTAGATGAGGCGCTTAGGGACATGGTTTAGTGGGCATGGTGGGTTGGGTTGACGGTTGGACTCGATGATCTTGGAGGTCTCTTCCAACCTTAATGATTCTATGATTCTATGAAAATACCTTCAAAAGGACAGAAAGCTTTTTAAAAGATGAACTCTGGATCTGCAGATGAGAATGTAAATCCTTACTGAGTCAGCATCTTAAAACAGCAACGCGGGGCTTTTTGGTTGCTTCAAATTAGCAAGTAGTAACTTACTAAGCTACAGTAATTTGATCACAAAATGATCAATCCAACATAGAATCATAGAATAGTTTGGTTGGAAGGGACCTCTAAAGGTCATCTAGTCCAACCCCCCTGCCGTGGGCAGGAACAGCTTCAACTCGATCAGGTTGCTCAGAGCCCCGTCCAACCTGACCTTGGACGTTTCCAGGGATGGGGCATCCACCACCTCTCCAGGCAACCTCAGCGTAAAACATTTCTTCCTTATCTCTGGTCTAAACCTACCCCCCTTTAGTTTAAAGCCATTCCCCCTTGTCCTGTCACAACAGGCCCTGCTAAAAAGTTTGCCGCCATCTTTTTTATCAGCCCCCTTTAAGTACTGATCGGCTGCAATAAGGTCTCCCCGAAGCCTTCTCTTCTCCAGGCTGAACAACCCCAACTCTCTCAGCCTTTCTTCACAGGAGAGGTGTTCCAGCCCCCTGATCATTTTCGTGGCCCTCTTCTGGGGGGGGGGCTTCATGGGACTAAGTAAAGTATTTTTCTCTAGATCTGTTTTTTGGTATTAGAATTGAAACACAGCATTAAAGGTGGCAAAAGGAACACTACATTGCTGCTATCCTTACTGTATCTATTCTGGAGGCTGGAACCTTCTTTTATGGCTACTACATTCCTTCAAAATTAATCTGAACAGAACTACAAGTCTTAAAAGGTTATTGTGAAGCCTTAGGAGTATTTTCCATACTTTTTCTTCTTTGCTTACATCAAAACAAGCATCTGAAACTTCAAAATTGGTTTCTGCAGGGTATTTCGAGTTTATCACTCGATATATTTATCGCTATACTGTTCATTTTCAACAATAATGTACTATTAATTTTCTAATTATTTACTTTCAAATTAATAGTTTAATTATTTGAAATTGAGAAGAACATTCAAACATGAATTTAAACCACACAAGCTGTTTGCACAAGTCTGGTGTCCTCTGTATTCTGAACTTTGGCCTCAAAGCTTTTAGTTCACTTCAATACTAAGCCCAAAAGACACTGTCATGTGTATCAGCAACAGTCAAAACAAGTTTAACAGATCATCAGTACCGACCTGGACAACAAGTCCATGAATACCACAGGTCAACTTCCCATCACAAAAACTCCATGTCTGCGTAGTACTGCGCCGTCGATCAGGCTTTCTCAACATCAGGGGCTCGTACCTGCAACGAAAGCATGCCACCCAATACTTAGAGGATTCCAACTTCTCAGTTTTACTCGAGGTGTGTTAATGACAAACACTTACTCTAATTTTGTTCAAGCTCATTTTCCTAATCTCACTTCTAGAAGTGCTCTTTTAACAATCTGCTGCTGAAAATACATTAGCCATGCTTTTAAAAATATTTCCAAGTCACAAAAGTGATCATAAGGTCCGTTCACGAAGACAGATAAAATCCAGCTCTTCCACATGCCTTCAGAATAATTTCTTTCCTTATTCAGAGAATATCATGTTAAGTATGCTTTCAAAGACATGGTTAGAATCTACATCAGTTTCCTGAGAAATCGTATTTGCAATACCTGTTATCTGTGACAGCTGCCAGACCTGCAATATCTAAAATCATACAAGAGTCCACAGACCGAGGAGAAGGTTTATGGGGGTTATGAGGAACTGAAGAACCTTCATGGCAAAGCATTCCTGTGCCCGTCATTCTCCAAAGCTGGGATCGTTTTCCTGGCTCCTGTTGCATAAAAATTCAACATTTAAATGAACACAGCAGTACAAGAGCAAATCTCTCTGTTCTGTTTTGCTATCAGATGCTTTGAATTATAATTCTTGGAATGACTCGTATAACTTCAGAGCCCCGAGTTTGTATAAAAACTTCTAATCCAACTCTGATATTCAATGAATATGCATCCTATGTTAGCATTGTTAGATGCAGAGCTGTATTTACAAGCTATTTTTAATCTCAGCAATATTTAAATACAGTTTCTATTTAAATACAGCTCCAGAAATAGAAGACTTAGCTTACAATGCAACCAAAAAGGAAGCGTGCCCTACCTTGTAACTTCATTAGAACCTCAAACATACAATTAACACACTTGGTTGTCTTAGAGGCATTTACAATGTTCCTTACTACTTTTATTCCAATTCCCCTTTCTGTCACCCTTACCCCCGTAAAAGTCTTATACGGAAGCACCACCATAATTCAAACAACCTGAATTGCAATAACCTGTCGCTTTCAGTGGAGTCTGACTCCACCCTTTGCAAGTTGCCATGAAAATGTTTTTATTTTTTCCTTCTCCCAGCATATGATTTTACTTCAGCGCATAGCAACAGCATTTTAATAAAATCCAATGTGTCTTGGTACCTTCTTTTTCAGTACAACTCGTTGAGTCTTTGGAGAAACATCAAGGACAAGCTCTGCATATGCAGCATCCTTATTCGAAGCAACTGGTCTTACACCCGGCTCCTGTAAACTAGAACACCAAGAAAACATCATCATGTTTATTCAGAGTAGCTGCTTCCTCTGTAGATTGAATTAGATTTGTACCAAAATCCAATTGAGGAAGCTTACGCTTCCAATATAGCCAATGAGACAAAAATTTATATTGTTCTTTTTCCCCTCTTGTTATTTTTGGAATTACCAGTGTAAGCTGTCAATTTGAGTACATTCTTAAAAGGGGCTTTGATTTCTCACTGCGACTAGGAGCTTCACGGGCAAATGAGATGAATTCCAAAGAAAATTTTCTACCTTATATTGAGGAAAGCAACAAAGCATGTATCAATCTCCTGTAGCTGTTTTCAATAGCATATAAACTAGTGCGAGTTCAAAATTCACAGGCACGTCACAAATAGGTATGTCCTGTAGTCAAGTGTTCTTAATCCACCAAATGAAATTAAGTCCCCAGATGTGACCCTGCTCTTCTAAGATCAAACAGTGGAGTCACAGCAGATGCCATGTGCTAAATCTTTCTCACTATGTGACAAAATAAACAATGACAAGCTGCACCTATAAAGCTTAGTTACCACGACCAAACAAGGTAAGATACACAGCTTAACAACTGCCAGATTCAACTGAATTTTGGCATTTCTTCCACTAGCTACAAGGTTGACAGGAGTTTAGCTGCATTTGAAAAACTTTCAAACAGCAACCATTAAGAGAATATTAACATAAAGCCTAAAGAACACCATGAACATTCAAAATATTTTCATCTAATAGATAAAGAATTACCCTGAGAAAGTATATGTAGCAGCAATATAAATGAAGTTTTCATAGTAAAGCTGCTTGCTATCTTGGAAGTCATTCATGCTACAGACGATTTCTGAGGAGCCTGCCCCTTTAACTGTCAGCATTATAAAAGGTGGCAGAATAGGTTCATCCCATGCATAATCCAGAGAGGTCATGGGCTTCACTTCAGTGTACAGTCTTGGCTCGACAACGCCGTGCTGATTAAAAACAATTGGGACCTGTAACAGTTATGAAAGAGGATTTAGTTTCACACAGAAATTGTTAATCAGACAGATTTTTTTGCTATCAGTTGTTCATTTTTCAGGAGTTGATCACTGAAACATGTTCAGCTCACTTCCTCCCCAATGGTTTCATATGCATTTTCTTCCATTCGAGTCTCAATTAAAGATAGTCTCAAAGGGATGAGAAATGTCATCTTTGCTTTTATCTGTCGTCTGTGGTTCAAAATGTCTTTAGTCCCATGGTAGCATCTCAAACCCTCCTAATCAAAATTAGGAGACTTGCCCAGTTTTATTTAACAGTTCAGTACCAAAATCCAGAATGAGAACCAGTAACTATTAAGAGCTCTGTCTCCTGCTGTGACCACAAGGCAGTCAGCAAGTTACTGTAAAATATGCAAAGTAAATTCTCTGATTTTTATAATCACTGACATGGAAGCCCAAAAGACAGAGAGGAAGGAAGGGGCAGCAGTAGCCCAAATTCTTTTTACAGGTTAGTCAAGTGCTGAAAATAACACAGAACAGATTACAAACTATCACCCTAGCAAAATTTTCTCATCAGTAATAATGCTCTTCCTTGTAAGACTTTTAATGCACTCATAAAAGCCACAATGTTAGCACTATTACTTGAACAAGATGTAGTTGCGTACTACCAATTTTTACTAAAATTTCAGAAAATTACAATTATTGTATACAAATACCTCTTGCCACACACACTTTCATTTTATTTCATTACACAAGCTAGTCAGCTCCCTCTTCTAACAAATAAAAAAGAATTTCTACTTTTCTTTTTTTACTAAAAATAAAAGAAAAAAAAAGTGATTTTTTTCTCTTTTACCTTGGAAAAATTGTCTATGCGGAAAGGTGGCGGTAACTGATCTGTGTCACTGAACGCAATGCGATATGTGGCTCCTTGAAGAGTAATTTCTACTCTTAAGAAGTAACATTTTCCCAGGGTGTCCCTGAACAAGAACAAACAAATTCAAGAGAGGCAGGCTTCTGATCTGCGTTACCCGCAGTCATAAGTGTTAAACAGCTGCTTCTATCAAAAAATGGAAGTATGTTACAGAAGATTTATATATAATAGCTACCTCATATTAATATGGAACGAGTTATTTTTGTTGACCTCAAAGCCCCCAGACCAAATGCAGTTTGGGACATCCATTAGTCTCACACATAATAGTTGATCATAATCGTTACGTGGCCAGTGGAACACG